CTGGAGGAAGATGATCGAGGAAACTTCAATAACCTTCAATGTGCAGCTAATGGTAACCATACACTGACACCCTCTCACATCCAAAGACAATGTCACCGAGTTTTTAGTCACAGACTATGATTTTGCAAAGACTGGAGATCTTGCAGGGTCACTATTTGCAGGACTGCAACTAGATTTTTGAGATTATTTCCCATCATGCACCTGGTGGAAATTTGCAAGCAGAGAAACCTTGTTCCTTCTACACTCTATAGTGGTACAAATGGGAAGATACGTTGACTGGGCATGTAAACATCTACAATATTAGTATTTTTGTCCATACCGTGTGGCCCTAGTGTACACTACCATGCTGTCAAGTGTTAAAGAGAGTCTTCAGCCTCTTGTCTTCTCTGTATTCATAGTGTTTCACTGGGCTGAACTTCACAGTTGAAAGCTACCGATTTTACATTCGTGCCCATAATTACGATCCGCAGCCAGGGAAGCCGCGCGATGGAGCGGTTTTCATAAACGAGAGATAAAAACAGAGATGAATATCATGGATTAACCTCAAGTGAAGTTTCAGTGTGTCTTCAACAAGGTTCATTCTTTGCTTATTTCTTTTTGCATTTTTTTAAAGTCATTCATCTCTTTGCCCTGCAGTTTTGTTCCATAACGGAACACCCCGGGTTAAATGTTTATTGAACTCCAAAACAATTTTCTCTCCTTGGATCAATCGCTTCCACTGTGGTCACGAACGGCTTCGCCTGCAAATGGAATCCAGCAGGGATGTGTGTGTGTGCGCGTGTGTGTGTGCACGGGTGGGTGTTCTGTAATTTGCTGTCGTTGCCGCTGCACTTCATTAAGCCAAGTGCCTTTGTACTGAGTGTGTGTTAGTTTGTGAGTTTGGGGAAGAGTGTGTGTGTGTGTATAGGTGTGTGTGTGTGTGTGTGTGTGTGTGTGTGTGAGTGTGTGTAGATGTAGCGCTGTGTGTGAAGCGTAGAGGTGGGATTGTCTCTGGGGAGTTCTGATAAGAGCGAACCTCTGACCCGTCTACTCACTCCTCACACAGAGAGAGAAAGAGAGAGAGAGAGAGAGAGAGAGAGAGAGAGAGAGAGAGAGAGAGAGAGAGAGAGAGGGAGGGAGGGAGGGAATTACGGAGAGATTACTCAGTTGAAAGAAAGAGAGACGACAACAGGAAAGAGTGAAAGAAGATGAAGAGATGGTGGGAGAAGATAAGTGTGGAGTTCTCAGAGATAGAGAATGAGCAGACCTCTGATAATCATTCACAAAGTCTCTGATCACAGCGTAGAATGAATCTTTGCTGTGTGCGCTGGCTGGGATGGGGGTTAGTGGGGGGTGCTGAGGGGCCGCAGCATTCCCAGATTTCAGGACTGTTTGACTATTAATGCTAAAAATATTTGTATAAAAACTCAATACTTTTTTCATTTTATGTTTATTTATATATTTTCCAAAACTCCAAAGTTTATAAACTTTCCAAAACACTCTTGAAGTTAATGCTGCATTGTCATTACAGCGAGCCGAATCGCTTGCCTCACTGGCTGTTGGTGGCTTTGGGGCATGTCACTAAAAATCAAGCATGTTTAGAAGCATAGAGTTAAAATATGTAAAGAGAATTTTACTGAACTGCTTAATGACCTAATATCCTTAAAATTAAATAAATAAAACTTTATTCAAGCAATAATATAGCAAGCGCAGACATGAATATGATTGTTCATGATGTCACGGTATAATGATAAATGACGTTGTCGCGCTAGCAAATATTTTCCTTGTTATGCTGTGTTCTGCATATTGAGCAATAGGTCCTGTTTTCATGTGCTATCAAACCTGTAATGGAGAAGTTCTTGAGCATCGTACCTCCTCTCCTGATACTCTATATGAACAGAGATTAATATCCCTCATCAAAACCATGAAGTAATCCCATGCAGACTGTTTTTTCAGTGTTGATCTGCTGCTGCCTCAACTGTTTGAATGCCTCTGTGCTGACTTGTTGTGGTGTGAAGTGACATCAATCACAGACGCTAGACTATTTGTTAAACAAATTACTTTGTCTATAAGTCTTACATATCACTTACTTCTAGCAAGCATTCTATCTCAAGTTTTCAAAGAAGACTTCAGACGCTGAGTTTAGTTGGAGAAAAAGGCTTCAGTATTTATTACAGGCTCTAGCAAAGTGCAATTCAGCCTGGACATTAGGCTCTGGACCCAAATGCAAATACAGTGTACAGAGTTCCATGTTTTTATACACGTTCAGAGATGAGGTAATCCCCTCACTTTCTCTTGATGTGTCATAACCTGTTTTGCCCATCATTAAACCAAAGATTAATCACTCTTTTGGACCCAATGAAATTTGACCCGTTAAAAAGGTCTAGTTGTCTTTTTCATATCTAAATCATTAAGAAGGGCATCCTGCATTGGTACCCAGCTGGCCTCCATGTGGCTTTAGGTTCAAAGGTTCACTTGAAGGCCTCTGCTGCTTAGAGAAGTGTCCTGTTTATATACAGTATAATGTTATTAATGATGTTCTCTTTAATCATCAGGTTTGATTATTATGTTAGAAATTTTCATTTTATTCTGTCAGACTAGTGCAGGACAGTGAAGGACGTGACAGTGTTTTTAATCAGAGTGTCTTATTTTTATTGTAATTCAAATTTCAATTTCTCAAGCATTAGAATTGGACACTTTGCTGTAGTTCTATATTTGAGCCAAAATTTTCAATCCTTTTGACCATTTTTGTTGGAAATCTTTCAGTAGCTGAAATGTCAGTGCGTCCTTATTACTCAAATCCATCAGTAAAGCACTGTTGAACTAAAACTACTGAGTTCTGTTTCATTTTTAAGCATATAAAATTTTGTTGAGCGATTGTTATTATAATTCCCTGTTATTATAGCTCCCTGAAAACAGTATTGTATCACTGATTTTCAGGCCTAAGATCTCTCTCTCTCTCTCTCTCTCTTCTCTCTCTCTCTCTCTCTCTCTCTCTCTCTCTCTGTTATGCTAAATCAGAGTATGTGAATGCAGTCAGAAATCTGATGAGTCATGTGTAGAGCCTCTTCATGCTGCCATATGTTTCCTCCTCTCTCCCCGAAGGCCCACACGCTCGCACCCTCTCTCCACCTCTCCTTCTGCGCTCCTCCGTCGTAGAGGCGGAGAGAGAATGACACTAATGAGGGTCTTTCTGACACATCTTCATTTGATGGAATCTCTTTTCAGCTCTTGCATGTGCGCGTACGTTGCGACCGTCTAGCCGCTAAGCTAGCCTAGCTAATTCTGAGCTTAGGTTTAGCCATCCGGCTAACTAGGACCTCCACATGACGTGATGCAATTACAGAGAATAGCAGGAATGAGGGCTATGCTATGTGATGTGAGGATAATTGCTGTAGCTAAGCCAAATCTGGAGCCGGTGGAAACCCCACACTTAACTGAGAGGTTTATTTTGGCTTCCAGTCTAGTCCACTGTCTGCTCCAGGGAACTCTGTGTCCTTGCCCTGTCCACTGGCCAGCACTTTCTTGACCGTCAGCGAAGTAAAAATGTTTCCTCTGCCTAATAAAAGTACTTAATTTGTTAGCAAGCAATTTCATTTAAATGGCATTACAGAATTGCATTATTACTACAAAGTTGTGATACAATAAATTACATTTACATTTCATTTACTTTTTATGGCTCTGTTGTCATCTACCATTAACAGACGTCTGGAGTGATCTGATTATTGGTGGACAGCACTAAGTACAGGTGTCCAGTCCATCTAGGATATACATTATGATCCAATTACTCAGAACACCTTTGGAGGTGGTTAGGGACGCAAATGACCACATAAAATTTGTAGTGTAAACGCTAAAGTGTCTCAATGTGTCCTAAACAGCATTGAGGGACCACCTAATCAACCACACCATCACAGCAGAGATGTAAGCCACTGTGGAGCTTCATCATCTTCTCTCCCATTTGCTCGTGAGTTGCATTAACAATCCATGCAATACTTCCAGTCCTGAGATCCAATTGCAAGTGGTCACTGGAGACATGTGATCACGTATGACCAGAGCCCACAGTACTGTGCAGAAGTCCATTCGTTGTTTATTTAACTTCTAGTCAAAATGGTCATTAAGTGCCATGCACTTGTCCCCTTGGCCTCGATGACAGCCGCAGGAGTCGATGGGAAGGCTGGGCCCGAATTCGAACACCACTGAGGGACGCAAGTGATGGTGGGAGGAGGACGTCAGCCACCAGAGAGCGGACGACGCCACGACAGCCTATGAGAGGCATGAAGGCGGGACATGTGTCCCGAACTCCGCTGCCCAGGCCCCGCTTCCTGTTCTGTATTGAGGCCGCTAGACTACACCTTATTTTACTACTTTTCCCTTCATTATGCAAGTGAATTATCTTATATCTAATCACATAATCATGCCGACAATGGCAAATAAGTCTCTATACAAATGAAATATCTCCTCAACACAAACGTGGTGTGGATTGACAGTTTACAATCCGCACAAAATGTTTGTCCTTTTTTTAAAGTAAGGGTTAATTCATTTGAAGTCTTTTAATGCCTTAAGCTGCTTTTCTTTTTGCTGGCAATGCCTGCGACTCATAAAGTTTAACTGGTGCTATTCTGTGATTAAAATAAATCAAAGCAAAGTAACAGTTTAGGTGAATGAAAACAATACAGCTTTCATTCACAAATATGTCAGAAGAGCCTCTGAGCCGTTTTATTTTTTTTTTGCGTTGTGATTTTCTCTGTGTGGTGACGTCTACTGTAAAAGATATAAAACCATGAATTCTTTCCTTGATTGAAGTGGAAGAATGTGCAGTTTTTTGTTTAATATAGAGAAATTATCTATATTTCAGTCATTCAAAGATGTGACAAAAGTAACCATCATCTCTCTCTCTCTCTCTCTCTCTCTCTCTCTCTCTCTCTCTCTCTCTCTCTCTCTCTCCCCCTCTCTCTCTCTCCCTCCTTCTCTCTCTCTCTCTCCCTCCTTCTCTCTCTCTCTCTCTCTCTCTCTCTCTGCAGGGAGTGAACAGTATGTTTGAGGTCATTCTAATTGGGAATAATTCGGACCACTTCACCATCTCCCCCACGTCCGTGCAGGGCCGTGCTGATATCCGTGTGCGTGTAGCTGTGCCCCTGGACTTTGAGACTATCAGGAGCTACAGCTTTTCAGTGAGTAAACTGAACTCCCTGTTCTGAGCCGATTATAGTTCACTTTATATTCAGTTATTAATCATAAGGGTTATTTTCCAGAATTAAGGGCTATTTTTCAGAATTTGAATTATTCAGTAACCACTGTGAATATGATTTGTAAGTTATATAGTTATGACAGTTAGGAGTGGAAGTGTCAACTCATTGATGGGTCAGTGAACTGTGAGGGCTTAATTATCCTACCCATACTCCCCCCACAAATGTGTTCTTTCATAGATTGTGAGGGTGGACAAGCTTTACAGAATGCAAAGCTGTGGAAACTGTGACTTTTAGAGCTCAGCCTTATGTATGGACCATAAAAGCCAAAACTCTGTCAAACACAAAGAAATAAAATCTATAATAATGCTAATTTCTGCTGGCCACCCTATGGGATTCTAGTTGTATGTTAGCACAAAGCTAACAGAGATTGACATTAACATTTTTGGGCTGTTTTAGAATAAACACAGAAAATTAAAGGTTATAAAAGTTATTTTTATACATTTATTTTACCTCAGAACAGTTTATAGTGACTCCTTCAGTAAAGGGCCTTTTATAATAAACAAAAATGAACAGAAAATTATATATTTTATATATATACATATATAAAAGGTATGTGTTTGAGCTAACATTAGCATGGTGGCAGGTCTGTTTTTGTCATTTCTTATCTGCCCACTTTCAATTAACTACAACAACAAAGTTGTTTGTTAGCTTGGTAGCATAGCATTTAAAAGTAGAAACTCAATACTGCGCAGCAACTGCAAACAAACACTATATTATATTATATTATATTATATTTTATAATATATTATATTATATTATATTATGTCATATGTCTCCTCAGACCAGCATTTGTAGACACGTTCATATCTGTGTATGTACAGATATTGACACATCTATTTTAGCTCCTCTCACCTGGGCTCTTTATTATTATTTTTTATTTTCTATTCTATGTATTATATCCTTATTTTATTTGTCCCTTAGGTAAATATTTGTAATAGTCTGTGTGAAGTGATATACAGTAAAAAGTTAAGTGATTCTGATTCTGGTAGTGGTCAGATTTAGTTAGGTGACATATTTTGACAAAAACCAAACAGTTTGTCATTAGATTAAATGGGATTTTTGTCAACATTCTATATAGCATGTTTAACTTCACAACAGTTTCTAAGGAAGAATGCCTTTGCGGGTTTTTGGGGGGGCGGGGCGCATAAGTCTCTTATATATATATAAAATGCTGGCCACCAACTACCAAAGATGAAAGCACTTGTGATCAGATTAAATGAAAACAAAAGTCAACTTTGTGATAGTTTGCATTTTCATGTTTACTGGTTGTACCAATAAATCCCAATAATTCCTAATGTCCAGTAGTCTTGAAACTGAACCAACAGTCAAGAACGTTTTAAGTTAGGCAAAAAATGAAAATATAATGTAAATGACTTTGGATCACCTCTTTAGTTCTATTGATTTTACAGTCAACAAGTGGAAACTTCCCCCCAACAAAATTCAGCAACTAAATAAGCTTGTTCCTTGTCAAACCATCCATTAAGTGCATTGTGGTAGTTGCAGGTGCCTCTTTAGACGCTTCTTTTTGACAAGGTCAGACAATCTATTCAGCTTTTACGACAGCAAGAAAAGAGCTAACATCCTTCACTCTGCTAAAACACAACTGACCTCAGGGAAAACGTTCATCTTTCATAGGGACAGCGGGCCCGAACGACAGGCCAAAGCTTCAGTGCTGTGGCCTGAATATTAAAAAGATCATGTCACAGTGAGGCCCACACACCAGAGCTCACCTCCATTTGAAATCTGTCGTACAGTTTGACTATTGCAGGCAGTATTCAGCAACTGCACTGAACAAATTTGCCTTATCACATCCAAAGGCTGTAGACAATCCAACAAGACTGGCAGCTGTTGCAGTAGCTAAAACACCATTCTGTGAATTCATCTGAAGGTTTCTATTACATATGTCAGCAATATATTTTAGAGTTTGCACAGTTTAGAAAGGGTATCTAACCAATATATTGTTTCTCTTGAAGCTGTTTTGGGCTGTCAAGATAAACTGATTTAACTCAGTTATTATGATTATAGTTATTTTCATTTATTTATGGTGATAATATGTATTTTACACCACAGTGTAAATACCATGTTTTTTGCCACATTGCTTTTTTAAAAAGGTGCCTTAATTCATCTTTTTTCCTGGTAATATATTCTAGATTTTCTGAAAGGATGTTTATAGTTTGTTACTGTTCAAAAAAATCTTTAATTGTTTGGCCTTTTTCAAAAACACTGATTATTTGATGTAAAACTTGTTAAAAGTAATCAACAAGTACTTTATTATCAATTTAATTGAAAGTCACAGCCCTACAAGGGGAGAGAGGGGCACAACCTAACCTGGGGTAAAAAAAAAACATGAAATGTTCAGTAGAATGTGCTTTTTGTCATGTTCTTGTATCCCAAAGCATGTCGTCAATTCATTTTAACAGCAGTCACACGGATATTTCTCCAGATTCACAATGAAGATTTCTTTATTGGTGGTTTTTTTACTTAATTTTGTTTTCAAGTCACAGAATTACTTAATGTACATCACAGATTTCACAACTGTATTATTGCAATAACATTTGGTGGCCATATAAACAACTCACAGTGAGAGCTAGCCAGGTGTTAGTTTTAACTCAGTGTTACAACTAAACTTTCCATAGTAAACATGGGGGGGCGGCGGGTTGGTTTTTATGTTTTTATGCACAGATTATGTTGGAAAGTGTGTCTGGGTCAAACAGTTACAATGAATTATATCTTTTACAGCTGAGAAATAAGCAGATGTAAAATGCTTGTATAAGCATCTTAATCTTGCTCGAATACCTTTTAACATTATTTAGAAAAAAAAGGAAAGAATTACAAAGAAGCTTTAACAATTTAATATAACATCAGCATGTTTCAGTATTTAGTTTGTCTGCTCTTTATCTTTATTATAGCTTCCATTCTTTTCATTAGACTCAGGTTTTTAACCCCTTAACATTCCAGGCTTATTACATACTAAGGCTTATTATTCATTAATTACAAGGACTTCAATGCAAACCAGTAGAGCTTTTCTTAGGTTATAGAAGTGTGTAATAAATCAGGCCCATGGCTTGGTAAAGGGTGAAAATCATCTGCAGGGATGTTTTTTTTCCACACCTCCAAAGTTCAGTCTTAGAAGTTGGTTGCATTTTCTGCTTCTCACGATCCAAAACACATTCAGTGATTTTGAGGTCTGGACATTGGGGTGGGCAGTCTGTTCTGAGGACACCAGAATAAGCTTTTTAAAAGCTATACATCCTTTCACACTCATAGTGTTGAGTTGTCTTCTCACAATGGAAGGATGGACAGAAACACCTGTGGATTTTTTCAGATCAGAAGCAAAAGTGGAGCTTGATTTCTTAAAGATAAAAGCATTAAGTGCTGTTTATCTGATGGAGCCAACTCATCAGGAATATCTCCTGAAAAATGAATCAGAATCAGGTCAGTGCTCTATGAACTTGCTGAAAATATGCAAAATTAACTTGTGATTTTGAAAGACCTTAAAGGATCTAAACACTTTGAATCTCCGTCTGATAAAGATGATGTGGAGCAAATAAGGAGTGTGTAATGTAATCCAAATAAAGAAACCAAAGCTCTTGTATTTGTTCACAGGGACGCAGTAGTCGAGTTGCTCTGTGGCTGCTCTGTGCTGCTCCATTCTCTGCTGCTTATTTAGTCTGACTGAATGGAGCAGAGCCTGGAGCAACAGTTCCTCTTGTTTGAACTGACACACTGCTGCTCTCAGTGCTGCTGGGCACAGGCTGAGAAATACATTTAAATAATGTGTCTTCCCCAGGCCGAACACAGAATACAATCAGATTTTTTTCCCTTAACGTTTTGTTGTTGTAGATTTCTACAAAATCTCGAGCGAGCCGGAGCTGTTTATGTGGCCGAGTCCCTCACCCTGTCCCTGACTGAATTTAAACAGCACGCAGAATTCGACGAATGTCGCAATGAAATTTCGCTCACTGTGCCTGAATAATTTATATATTCTAAAACTGTATGAATATCTAACTGCTTGTCTATGCTAATGCTACACGCTTCAACCACTCACTTTATTACAAATCTCCAGTATTTAGTTAGAGGAACTTTTCTATACATATATATATATATATATATATATATATATATATGTATAGATAGATAGATAGATAGATAGATAGATATTATGACATACTAAATATAGTGCAGTATATGGAGCAAAAACAAATGAAGTAATATAAAAGTTGCGCTACGCAATACATTTCAGTGGATACTAATTTCCAAGTAATAGTTCCAGAAGCATTCAATCATATTGTTCTCTTTCCCCCCTCAAAGTCACTGGTCACATAATAAATGGAATCATTCTTTATAATGACAGCCTAGCATAGAGCAAGCACCATCGTAATGAAATCAGCAATATAGACAAATGAATTATTAATAGTAAGTAGCTGCTGAGAGTGATTTTCCCCCTGCTGTTCTGGCTTCCAGCTGTACGCAAACGAGTCTCTGTCTGAACACGTGGGCTTCGCCAGAGTCTTCATCGACCTGATCAACGAGAACGACAACAGGCCGGTGTTCAGCCGGACGCTCTATAACATCAGCTTACTGGAGAGCACGCCGACCGGAACGTCTCTGCTGCAGATACAGGTAAACACATCAACATGAATGCGAATCTACAATATGCTCCCGCTCTGGCGAGGAGAGGGGGAGGGGCATGTGTCGCAGAAGGGCCCAGGCAGCAGGGAGCCCCACAAGACTGGTTGTAAAAAATTCACATTTTAAAATTACATTGTCGTACAGCTGGGTAGCAGACATTAGCCAAATTGTATTAGTCAAAAAGGAAAAAACACCTCTGTACCGCAGAGGTACCAACTAGCTCTGCAGTGAATGTTCAATTATTAACCCTATCAAACCGAGCGACTCGATAGCGATACTTTCACAAACTTTTCTGCCACCCGAGGAGTTACAGAGTGTCCATGCTATCCATAGTACAATGGGTCATGGTGAAAAATTGGAGCTGTCTGTGTGCTACTGTGTTTCCTATCACTGTATAAAAAAAGCACGAAGCTGCTTTTGTTGTTTGATGCCTTTATTATAATATCATTTTTTTAGCATTCATGCTCATTCAGAGTGCAGTTCAGATCTGTAAGCTCTTATTATTGATATATTTAATCACGATAAAGCATTCCTGATGTGTGACTTACATTCCCATTCATACATTTTCTTGTTCAAGAAGCCAATTTGGGACTCGTACTTAATAAAAATCCATTCATTGTCAGTTATGTTAGATCATGTTCTCTACATATTACCTAAATTAAAGCAACAATGCAGCAACAGCACTGAGAAACCACATTAATAATTTGGCAGAGCAGATTAAAAGTCAGAAATAGTCTCTTTTGTATCAGCCTTAAAAGGCTAAAACATGAGGAAATCGTAAAGTCATTGGTAACTGACTTAATGTGTTGATGTCACAGTGTTTCAAAACAGTTGAAACCCTGGAGAGGTTTGTCTCACGAAGCAAATTCAGGGTTCCTAACTAAGTTTTATCTTCATAAACCTTAACAAAAGTGAAAATTCACTTCTGCTTTTTTATACATCAGTACATCATATGCATCAAATCGTCTAATCATTGCAGTACAGCAATGTAACATACATTTAAAATGCTTGAAATCTCAGGATTCGTCTCCCACAAACAATATTATAATCTGTTATTTACAGCAGTAAAGATCATCTCATTTGCAACATAAGCACCGAATGAGCAAATGGTTGCAAATTTATGGGTCCTTACCTTCAAAGCCTTGCCACTATTCAGAGACATCATGATCCCAAACATGCAGTCTTGATAGCACAGCAAGAGTCAGAGATCAGTGTAGAGATCTATGAGTCAGGTGGAAATAAACTCCTCTCTAACCTCTGTTACTCTGAGTCAGTAATTCATACAATTATTCTGATGGTTGGGAAAAAACCTAAGAGTCTTACCTTTAAAATGAGAAATAATGACTGTAGCCCAGAGTATGTGGGAACAGCGCTCCTTTTACTCTGGGTATGCTGTTTCAGGCAAAAAATGGGGCGGCAGTTAACAGATTAAATTAGCTGAAGAAGAGTCTCTTATATGTACAGGCAACTCATTCCAAGTGTGAGCTAATCTAGTGGACTTATTTTCAGTAGTTGTCTGTTTTAATGAAAGCAGTTAGAGGAGCCAAACCATGCAGAATCTTATGTAAAAGACATGCATCTACAAATTTAAGTAAGTTATCCCAGCTTTAAAGTTGAGGCTTTTTATACAATATCCATGATTTTAACTACTGGACTTTCAACAAAGCACTTAAGGCAGACCTTTAAGTAACAAGAAAGAAATTGTGCTACATAAATGTGTAGAATTAGTATTTATGTAGTATTTATAATGGTCAAAATCAGCACTGCTTACTTGAATAATAATCGCTTTGTCTGATTTGTTTCCTTTGCTGAAAAGTGATATTTTTCACATTATTGACACCACAAACATCACAAAGGGAAAAACAAATGTGTCCTGAAAAAGGGACAGTGGGCTCCACCTTCGTCAGAAGACTCTCCCTGATTAGTCAGAAGCTCATCTTGATTGGTCCAAAAGCTGTTCATGATCCCAACCTTTACCCTGGAGTAGGTTGTAAGTTGTGTGCAGCATACGTTGCCATGGTGATATAGCTTGGTAAAATGGATCCACTGTCAGGTAGCTGGCTAAGCAACAAATGCTTTGAGAGACAGACCCCTGATCTATGTTTTAAAACACTTGTCCCATGAACAGATGCTTTTACACACCTTCCATTCATTTGCCAGCATTTTGGTGGTCTTACTTACGATATTCACTGGTGTTTAAACTCAAGCAACGATCATCGGTAGCTATGCCCCATAAGCCTCGTCTGCATTTCACTGGTCTGCTGGAATTCCTTTCATTAGCCTGTATGGATTGCGCTCAGTAAATTAAAGGTCACTTTTTAATATCGGCCGGGTGAACCATAAATAATGTAAAATGGCAACACGTACCGCGGAGCAGCTCATAACTCCAACTTATCACTTTCCTTCATTAATTCCTCCGCTTGTCCTTGTACAGTGTGGAAAGTGCGGGTTTCGTGTGGATTGAAGTCAGTGTAGTATGGAGCGGAGAGTTTGGTTGACCTGGACACATTGTGTTGTAGACAAATCAATAAAGATCAGCTTCTGTCCAGTTAAATGTTATAGTAATAAATCATCATCCATTATAATGTTGCTCTGGATGCTCTGGATTTATATCTGTGACAGTCTGGCATCTGCGTTTTGCTCTGCGTCCATTAGTGTAACAGGGTGATTTAATTATATTTTCAAGTGATTATATAATTAATTATCATAATAGGTTATGCCATTAGTTGTAAGTAGAATAACTGTGATTGTTAACATAACCTCAATTTCTTTAGTTCTTTATTTTCTACACTAAATATTTATGTTTCAAATATGTTTAGTGCCTCTCTTTTCTTTGTCCTCTAGCTCATTATCTGTCACAGTGTCACTTGTTCTGTACTCAAACTTTTAGAATTTCTATTGTCAAAAGCACAAAGCCATTTTTTTTGATAAATGTCAAATGTATAAATTAATTTTAATATGATGCTACTCAACTTCAAAGAATTCAAAACATTTATAAAGTGTAATCCAGAAAGACTCATATTTGAAAAGTGATGATGTAATCTTGAAGCCGAATAGATAAAGTTAATTAAAAGATTAAAATAAGTTATTAAGTTAACTTATTAATGCTTCAAAAAGATTACTGAATAAAATACAAACAATGAATAAAGCTAAAAACATATTCTAGTTTATAATATTGTAATCTGCATTGTATGAGTTATTATTGAGTAAACACAGTTAAGTTCATTGAGTAAAAACATATTTTGAAGATTTTCTAAATAAAGTTATCACATCCTGTACAGGCGGCACGGTGGCGCTGTGGGTAGCGCTGTTGCCTCACAGCAAGAATGGCCTGGGTTCGATTCCCGGCCGGGTGACCAGGGTCATTTCTGTGTGAAGTTTGCATGTTCTCCCCGTGTCTGCGTGGGTTTCCTCCCACAGTCCAAAAACATGCAGTCAGGCCAATTGGACATGCTAAAATTGCCCCTAGGTGTGAGTGAGTGTGTGAATGTGTGTGTCTGTCTGTCTGCCCTGCGATGGACTGGCGACCTGTCCAGGGTGTATCCTGCCTTCCGCCCAATGACAGCTGTGATAGGCTCCAGCACCCCACTGCAACCCAGAAGGATAAGTGGTTTAGATGATGGACATCCTGTACAGGGAACACACTGAAATATGGTATTTTTTTCTGCAAATTTTAGTGGACAGGTTCTGTTTATTTGCTGAGTTTAACATATTGGGGAAAAAACAGCTTCTGCACAGGCCACATTATATATATATATATATATATATATATATATATATATGTATTTTTTTTATTATATATATATATATATATATATAAATATATATATATATATATATATATATATATATTACATATATATATATATGTATATATATGTATTTTATATATATATATATATATATATATATTTTCCGTTCCAAATATGTTAAACACAGCAAATAAACAGTAGCTGTGTATTAAAACATGTAGAATTCTGTTCTCTGCAAAGTTTTGTGTCTATGTTATTTTCACATAGAAAATCAAGAAAATATGGAATTTGAGCAGGAGCAACCAAACTTGCAGCTGTAGTATATACAATAGCCTGTCCACAGCCCCCATACTCTCAGGGTTCTGGATCTAGACAGTTAGGCACATGAACTGAAGGAACATTCTTTAATGGTCATGGTCTGTAGCTGCTGAGCTGTGCTGCCGTGGGCTGTAAAGATTAGAGTAAATGCAACTCTCTTAGATCGTGATCAGCACTGTCATTCACCAAACCCTGTTTGTTAAATCCACTATTCTTCACTGTCAGGAACATCATATTTTACAGTGATTACAGTGTTGCTAAAATTGTTGACCAGCAGGCCATAAAAATTGTGATTATTTGGCCTATTTGTGCTAAAGGGAAATGTGTGTTTCATCACTAGAATAACCACATTTTGGAAATGACAGAATACAGTACTTACAGCAATATGCTAATCTAGCTTTCAAACATAATCACAGTTATCGTCAGTGTGGTGACCATGGTGGTGCCCCCTGCCAATCTGGTGCACCTGGAGTCATGGGCACAGTTCTATGAACATTGTTTACTCGCATTATTACCTACATTGCTTACATGTATGTAACTGATTAAATGAATTGAAAAGCATGTTTAATCTGCTAAAAAAGTGTTGTTGATCGTTAAGGTTAGCTATAAACAGCTTGCAAGCAAATATGTTTCCACAAATTAATCACGGACACTGTCATAATAATACTAGGAATTAATTTTTAAAAGGGAGACATTTGGGCAAGGCTCAGCTCAGATAACAGCAGGTAGCAGCAGGTTGCTAGCATTTATGCAAGGATTTTGGTAGGACTGTCAACTGGGGCCTTTCTGGGCAAGATGTAGTCGTGCCAGGTTACCCAAACTGCAGCCACTGGCGCTGCATCATTAGATTCCCAGTGTTAAAATGCAGGGGCATGGGAAGTGGGAGAGCTGAGGGGTCTGCAGCACCCCCTGATTTCAGGA